ACTTTTAGGACTCTGTACGGACCTTCCCAGTTCGGCTCGAGGGCTCCGACATGCTGCATTACCTTCTTGACGACGAGGTCGCCAGGCTTGAACGTTCTGACTTTTACCCTGGCGTTGTAGTATCGAGCCATACGGTTCTGATATTCTGCTAGCCGGAGCTGGGAGTGAGATCTTTTCTCCTCGAGGAGGTCAAGATTCACGAGTAGAGCTTAGATGTGTATAAGAGACAGTTATTGTACTGAGCCGAGGCATATACACCTCGGCTCTTCATCAAACTTTTATTTCAATGAAATGAGGTTTCGTTCAGACCCGAGTTACTCTTTCTGAAGTCCCTATACTTAGAGATTTTAATTAAGTTTCAGTTTTAGTTTTGGTCGTTATCTGAGTTTCTCAAGTCTTAGTAATTTCTTGCTTACACAACGGCTTACGAGCCGATCAATTCAGCTCGGCGGTGTGTGTTTGGGGTAACCAGGTTCCTACGAGCCGACCATTGCTTCCCGTGTTTGTAAAAATATAACTTATCGTAGGTCGTTTAGCATAGGTCATACCAGGTAGTCTTCCTTGGCCCCCATTTGACGTAGCTCGGTAGTACTAGGCGACGCTAACGGATAAAGTCAAATTTTGCACAAGTCATTGGAGATCAGCTTTCATTAATGAATGAAATTTTTACACGTCGGATTACAGACATTTCACTGATAATAAATTCGCAAATGCTCGGCATTCCATGGGTGAGGGAGTTGTCTCCCGTTTAGGTCGGACATCAAATACGCTCCAGGTCGGAGTATTTTTAAGATTCTGTATGGGCCTTCCCAGTTCGGCTCGAGTGCTTCGACATGCTGCATTACATTCTTGAGGATGAGGTCGCCAGGCTTGAACGTTCTGACTTTTACCCTGGCGTTGTAGTACCGAGCCATACGGTTCTGATATTCTGCTAGCCGGAGCTGGGAGTGAGATCTTTTTTCCTCGAGGAGGTCAAGATTCACGAGTCCGGCTTCACTGTTGGCTTGCTCGTCGAAATTCTCAACTCGGGGCGTTGGCATGCCGACTTCTGCAGGGACAACAGCCTCCGACCCGAAGGCTAGGGCGTATGGCGTCTCGCCGGTAGATCGGCGGGGTGTAGTTCGGTAAGACCACAACACCTCTGGTAACTCTTCTTCCCACCGACCTTTCAGAGACTCCAGTCTCGTCTTCAGACCACGCTTGATGATCTTGTTGAGGCTTCAACTTGCCCACTAGACTGCGGATGGGCAGACGACGAGCTGAGGTGACGTATGCCGAGCTGTTGATAGAATTGATTAAACCGGGCACCGTCAAACTGCTTTCCATTGTCAGTAATGATAGCGTTCGGTATACCGAACCGACATATTACGCTCTTCCATACA